GCGGGGTGCGAGCCGGGGGGCCGCGCGCGCGCCATGGCGGCCGAGGACGCGGGGGGGCGTGCCCCGGGGACTTCCCGGAGGAGGTGGCACAGGAAAAGCGGGTCCCAGGGGCCCACCTCGGTCCCCGAGCCCGGGGAGGAGACGCCCTTCTTCCCCTTCTCCCTGCTGGATTGGGGCAAGGATGCTCCTGGAGTCGGTTTTGCGGTTTGAGGTGGTGCCCTGGTGGCCTTTGACTCCCTGGGGACTTTTCCAGTCCCCCTCCCCCTCCCAGGGCCCAGCTGTCTGGGGAGCGTGGGACAGCTGTGGGTCCCCCCACTCCGCCCGGCACCGGCTCTCCCCGCACGGGCTGAACGAGCTGGGTGGATGGGTGATTGAATGGAGGGAGTGGGGGCTGGGGACAGGACCAGCTGGTGGGCACACGGGGGAGGGGACCGGCGCCAGGCGCGGGCCTGGGGAGGGGGGCTTCCATTTCCTCGGCCACTGGGGATTGAGAGACTCAGGATGGGAGGGAGATGTTGGACCCGCGGCTGAGGAGCCTCCCAGGATTTTGGGGGTATTTTACGGTGGGTGCAGAGTTGTTTGAGGTGTCCTCTTTACCGGTATCTGCCCCAACCACCCCAGGTGACAAAGTCACTTCCCTCTAGCCTGATGGGAACACAAGAAAAGATTCTGTCCTGGCGAGCAGACATAGTAGGGGGCGTGGACAGAGAAACAAGATCAGGTAGTGGGTTATCAAGTGTTGTGTGTGGGGGAAAGCCAGGCATGGGAAGAGGATGGAGCCCATGGCAGTGGTTATCAGGAAGGCTTTGCATCCTTTGAGCAGTGACACAAAGGGGAGTGGAAGAAGCCTGGTTCCTACTGGGGGAAGAGCAGGTGCAAAGGCCCTGAGGCCAGGAACCAGCCTGGTCAGTTCTCAGATACTCAAAGAGCATGTTGACTGGAGCGGAGTTAGTGAAGGAGAGAGGGGCCCTTCGGGGGTTTCAGGGAGGACTTTGACATTTACCAGAGTGAGATGGGAGCCGTAGACGGTTCTAAGCAGAAGGAATGGGTTTCTGGAGCATAGTTGAGGTTCATTACATAGTAAACCAAACCCGGGAAGCCAGTCCCCATGCAGGGATCCTGCAGGACAGAGTTAGAGTTGCCCTACGGAGTTTTCAAAGCTGCAAATCTGTGCAGAAGCAGATTGCTTAATCTTCCTTGCAGAGTGGCTGGGACATTCACACTACGGACTTTTCGGTTAGCAGCCCAGTGTCCACTGCTCCACTCAGGCTCCTTGTATTCCACAGCAGGTGTGTGGGCTTTGTCTCTTACTGTTCTCTCTGAATTATCCATCTTGGGCCTTTAGCTCAGAGCATTGTTGTCCATCTGTTCTTTGCCTCGGTCCCTTGGGTCCACCCATGTGAGAAAGAGGGGTCCTGAGCCCTCCCTTTGGCAACCCAGCTCAGAGCAGGGCGAGTAGAAAAAAGATCCTGGGGTCCCAGTGAACCACTCACTTGCACATGACTCCAAGACTTGCTTTCGGGCAAGGTTTCTGGAGTAGCCTTAGTCGACACCTAGTGTGTACACATGCTCAGACTTGGCCCTGTCGACCTTCATTTATTCACTCGTTTGATTATTGATTCCACATACCCTGCACCAACCTCAATACTGGACAGCTTCCGGTTTCCTAACAACTTTTTACAAAAGAGGTTTGCGGAAATATCTTAAAAATGCAAACTTTTGGGAGAAAAGTGAGGCAATGAGTGAATGGAAATCCAAAATCTCTGTAAATGTTTATTAAAATTTAAAAAAAATAGAAAAAAATTTTAAAATGCAAACTTTTAAGAATTTAGATGACACTTAGGAATGTTGCAGTATAATTAGCTCATCTTGTCACTTGCACCATTTAAAATGAAAATATTCATACAGAGATGGTAACTCACCACTCAGGATACATGCATTGGGTGTCTGCGGTATCACTTGTTTAATTGTCCCTGCTGTTGAAACCGACGCATTGAGTGCACAGGTCACTGTGCTGGTCACCGCTGGGGAAATTGTGGAGCTGGGGGCGTGTGTGGGGGGGGAGCCCAGGACCTCAAAGCCCTGATTCGAAAACTGCCTTTCCTCCCCTCTCTTTTCCTGAGGCTCGATTCCACAGCTTTGTCCTGAGAGTCTTCATTCTGCACCTCTCTTCTCTGACTTGGAGAAGTTTGTGTTTTGTTTTTCCATTTCAGAAGTAATGGTTTGTCAAAGGGCTACACAACAGCAAATTTAATGTTGCCGAAGTTGTGCTGGATTTGGGGGAAACATCGCCCCTCCCAGCCTCAAAAGTATCTGGGAACACAATCAGATGCTTGCATGATCCTCCTCTACTTCTGTTGTGACAGATGAGCTTTGTGCAGGAAAGTTTCAAGTGTAAATTTAAAACAAATGCCAGTGAGAAAGCCATCTGGGGCAAGACAGGAGCCAACTCTATCGAAAACCCCTTCCCTACTCCAGCAGCCTGTCCCTGCCTTGTAGTCCCTCCTCAACTCCAGCAGCCTTCCTGATCCTGATCCAGTTCTGTACCCAGAGAGAATCTTTCACTGATGGGTGCCATCGTTTCTTCTTGGATGTTAACTTTTCCTTTCCTAGAACAATGGGTACGTATAGGGTGTCTAGTCTATTAGGCTTGCTTCCCTCACTTAGCATACCATTAGGAAGGCTCCTTAGTGCCACAGCCTGGAGCCACTTTCTCCTTTTGCACTGTTGTATAATATTCCACCCTAGCCAAGTTTCTACATTCCATTTGATGACTATGAGGTATTTCCGTTTGAGACTGCCAGGATTAGAACTGCTAAGAATATTCTCAACCGTGTCTTTCATTGCTTCTTTCTGGACCCCCTCTCCCCAACTTCACCTCAGAGTAGAATTGCTGGAAAACAATTATATAGCAAATAAGTAAAATGTCTTTGTTGTTGTTGTTGTTGATTGCCTTCGAGCCAAGCACAACTCATAGCAAGCCTATGAACAAAAGGCCTGAAGCCCCTCTACAACTATTGACATTTATCAAAGTTCATAGAGTTTCCAGAGGCATGTTGTTTAGGACGTGAATGCCACTCTTGCTTCCAAACCTGTCACAGAATGTTGGTTGAGTCACCTGTGATGTATCGCATCCCTGTGTACTCTGAACCCTTCCCTGTCCTGAGCCAGTCTCACTAATTCTCACACACCAGCTCCCATCGTCCCAGTTACTGTATCAGTCCATCTCATCTGGAGACTCCTCCTGTGCTGTCCATCCACCCTTCCAGGCACGATGTCCTTCTCCAAGGACCTATCTCTCCTGGCCACGTGCCCAAAGTAAGTGAGGCAGAGCTTCAAACTCCTGGCCTCCAAAGAAAGTCTTGGTTTCACCCCCTCCAAGACAGACCTATTTGTTTTCTTGGCGGTTCATGGTATGTTCAGACTCTTCTCTAGCACCACAACTCAAAGGCATCTATTCTTCTTCTGTTATCCTTAGTCATTGTCCAACTCTCTGAAGCGTAACAAGTAATTACAGGTGGTTTTCCAAAAGGATTTCCTACAGTAGAGAGTGGATGTTTCCAGTCACCCCCTGTCCTTTCTCCTCGGCAATCCCATTGTCTTATATTTTTTAAAAACAAAACAAAACCAAACCCTGTTTGGTTTGGGTTTTTTTGTTTTTTGTTTGGTTTTTTTTTTTTTTTTACAAAGTTCGAATACCTTGTTTTTCACACTGGCTCTTTCCCATTTCCTTCACCTCCCCCCTCCCCCATCAAATTGTGCGCCCCTGTGATTAACGCAGCCCCTCCGCCCATCCTCACCCCCTGCACTCCCCCACCCCTCTTGGCTCCTCATACTCGTTCTGCAGTCCCATTTGCTTTGACACTTTCTGCCTCTGTGTGAGTGTAAAAAACCCTAAGTATTTTCATATGGATTTGTTTTCACTTTCCCTTTTTATACAAGTAAAGCACCCTGGTGGCATAGTGAGTTAAGTGTTGGGCTTCTACCTGCCAGCTTGGGGGTTTGAATCCACCAGCTGCTCTGAGGGAGAGAGCTAAGACAGTCTGCTCTCATTACGACCTAGAGCCTTGGAAACTGGGGGAGCATGGCTGAGTTGTAAATCAGCTCAGTGGCAGTGAATTTTTCATGCATGTGGGAGAACATAGCGCCTGTGGCTTCTAGAATTCTTTTTATCCATGTAATTGTTAAAGATACACATAGCAGAACACACAGCAATTCTTCAGTTTCTTTACACATAATTCTTGATTATTGGTTACCTTCTTCCAGTGGTATAACCATTTTCAGTCCACTTATCTCCTTCCTTCCTTTTAATATCAGCTTGCTATCCCTGTGCTTCCTATGTAATCTTTGAGTTGCTCTTATCAGTTTGAAACCATGTTGATGGTTTTTGAATGTGTGTAATTCTCAAGTTTAAACACTCTTCCCTAGTGAAGTTGAACAAGTTGGGTTTTAGAAGACTTCAGGGGGTCGCTGTTGGCTGTTGTTAGGTGCCATTGACTCGGCTAGAAGCCTATACCCAGTCCAAGCAGCTGTTGTGCGAACAGAGCAAGGGAACACTACATGGCTTACGATTAAGAAGGGAGTGTATCAGGGTTGTATCTTTTCTACACATCTATTCAGTTTGTATGCTGAGCAAATTATTCAAGGGGCTGTCCTCTATGAAAAAAGAATGTAACATCAGGATTGAAGGAAGACTCATCAATAATCTTTGGTGTGCAGATGACACAACCTTACTTGATTAAAGTGAGGTAGACTTGAAGCACTTGCCGCAGAAGATCAAAGAATACAACCTTCAATATGGATTGCATCTCAACATCAAGAAAACAAAGGTTCTCACCGTCAGACAAATAGGCGACATCATGAGAGATGGAGAAAAGGTTGAAACTCTCAACAACTTTCTATTACTTGGTCCACAATCAGTATTCTTAGTACCAGCAGTCAGGACATCAAGAGATTACACTGGGAAAGTCTGGAGTCAGAGACCTCTCCAAATTACTGAGGAACAATGATGCTAGTAGTTTGAGGACTAAAGTGCACCTGACTCAGACCATGGTCTTTTTAGTCACTTGCTGTGTGTCCGAGAGTTGGACAGTGAATAACGATGGCAGAAGAAGAATTGAAGCCTTGATTGAACTCTGGTGTTGGAGGAGAGTACAGAATATGAAACAGATACTTGGAGAAGGTACAGCCAGCGTGATCCTTGGAGGCAAGAATGGCGAAGCTTTGTCTCGCATATTTTGGGCATGTATTTTGGGATTTGTCTTGCGTACTTTGGGCAGGATATACCTGGGAGAGGCTCTTCCTTGCAGAAGGACATCATGCTTGGGCAAGTAAAGGGATGACGAAGGAGAAGATTAAACAGACAGATTAACAGAGTGACTGTTGCAGAGGGTTCGAGTGTGTCAGAGATTGTGAGAATGGCACAGGGGAGCTGCTCAACTCGATGGCACCTAACAACAACGCAGTATGGCTTGTGTACGGTCTTTCATCCATAACTCTTCTTGTTGTTATATGCTGTCGAGTCACCTGTGACCCATAGCGACCCTATGTACAGCAGCTCTGTCCTGAACCAGTCTCACTCATTCTGACACACCAACCTCCATTCCCCCAGTTACTGTGTCAGTCCATCTCATCTGGGGTCTTCCTCTCCTGCTCTGTCCCTCCACTATTCTGAGCACAATGCACGATGTCTTTCTCCAGGGACCAGTCTCTCCTGGCCATGTTTTATTTAGTTTTATTTACTCATTGTAGCTCTTATTGGGACACATTTTCCTAAAGTAAAAAGACAGTCGACTCTGATGGAACACTGCTCAGCAAAAGGTTTTAATCCACCAGCTGTTCTGTGGGGAAAAGATGGACAGTTTCTTTCCATTAAGGTTTTTCGCATCGAAAACCCGATGGAGGATTAGTATGAATTGGAATCAACAACTGAATTTTGCAAAGTAAGAAGGTAAAAAAGAGCTTTCCTTTCCAGCCTGGTCCCGGTACTGTGGCCCCCGCAAAGAAGGCTGGTGAGAAGAAGAAAGGCCGTTCTGTCATCAGCGAAGTGGTGACCAGAGAGGCCACCATCAACATTCACAAGCGCATCTGTGGAGTGGGATTTAAGAAGCGCGCTCCTCGGGCACTAAAGGAGATCCGGAAATTTGCCATGAAGGAGATGGGAACACCTGATGTTCGCATCGACACCAGGCTTAACAAAGCTGTCTGGGCCAAAGGAATAAGGAATGTCCCGTACCGCATCCGTGTACGGTTGTCCAGAAAACGTAATGAAGATGAAGATTCCCCAAACAAGCTGTGTACACTGGTTACCTATGAACCTGTCACCACTTTCAAAAATCTATAGATTGTCAATGTGGATGAAAACTAATAGCTGATTGTCAAATAAAGTTATAAAACTGTCAAAAAAATAAAAGAAGAAAGTGAAAAGTAGACATGACAGGACACTGAGGGACGGAAGGGTCAGAGGGGAAAGATAAAGCGAAGCCTTAATGGAGGATTTGGGCAGGCTGTGGACTTCACTCCAGAACTGGTCAGACCAACAGGGGTCTGGCCTTTGATGAGAAAAGGATGAGAAAGCCAGAAACAAGAATGACAGAACCTACGACCAAAAGAAGGGGGGAAAAAAATAACAGAATTTCAGATTCCCACAGAATCTAGACTTTCTGGAACCACAGAGGCTGGATGAAGCCCCAAAGAATTGTCCTGGGGCTCTTTGAACCAAAAAGCAGCTTTGTCTCACATACGTTGGGCATGTTGCTGGGAGAGGTTGGTTCTTGGAAAAGGACATCATGCCTGGAAAGGTAGAGGGTCAGTGAAAGAGGAGGACTCAACATGATGGACGGGCACAGTGGCTGTAACAGTGGCCTCAAGCGTGTCAGAGAGACACAAGGTACACACCTGAGGAAAAAATCCCTCCCCCAAAAATAAGAGTTATACCCTTCATCTATCTTCACAATCTCCCCCATTGTAATTGTGAGGTTGCCGCCTGGGATAAAAATTCTATATTTAACTCAATGTTTTACCACTTTGTCCCTTCCCTAAAAGAATGGGAATCCCAGAACGCTTAATTGTGCTCATGTGAGAACTGTATTTGGATCAGGCAGCAATAGTCAGAACAGAGCAGGGAAACACTGCATGGTTAGGATCAGGAATGATGCGCATCAGGGATGCAGTCTCTCTCCGTACTTTTTCAGTCTATATGATTTGGGAGGCTGGACTGTATGAGGAGGAATGTGGCATCAGTATGGGAGGAAGACTCACCAACAACCTGGATATGCAGGTGACACAACCTTGCTTGCTGAAACTGAGGAGGACCTGAAGTGTTTGCTGAAGAAGGTCGAGGGCTCTAGTCTTCAGTATGGATTGGTGCTCAACATCAAGAAAACAAAGCTTCTCACTGTTGGGCCAATTGGCAGCTTCATGATGAACAGAGAAGAGACTGAGATTGTTAATAACTTCAGCTTGCTTGGTACCACAATCAACACTCTTGGCAGCAGAATCCAGGAAATCAAAACATGAATTGCATTGGGAAGGTCTACTGTCAGGGACCTCTTTGCTGAAGAGCAAAGAGGTCAGTCTAAGGACTAAGATGTGCCTGATTCAGGCGATGGTCTTCGCAGTGACTTGCGATGCATTAGAGAGCTGGACAGTAACTAAGGATGATAGAAGGAGGATTGATACCTTTGAGTTGTCGTGCTGGAAAACAGTGTTGAACATACTGTGGACTGCCAGGAGAACAAACAGATCTGTCTTGGAGAGAGTGAAACCAGGCTGCACCCTGGAGGCTAGGATTTTGAAGCTCTATCTCACATACATTGGGCATGTGACCAGGAGGGACCAGTCCTTGGAGAGGGACATCATGCTTGGAAGGGTGAAGGAACAGTGCAGGAGAGGAAGACCCCAGGTGAAATGGATTGACACAGTGACTAGAACAATGGGATTAAGTCTATCGGAGACGATGAGATTGGCTTAGGATAAGGCAGGATTCAGAGCTAATATACATAGAGTTGCCAGAGTTACAGGCAACTCAATGACACATAACAACAACAACATTTGTATAACACAGTAGTAGCTGTTTCAACTTTAAAAAAAACAACCTTTTTTCTGATTTGAGTGATCATGTAGAGAGCACACTGGTTTTCAATTAATACAGGTTTTGTTGTATGACGTTGATCACAGTCACCACATTGTAACAGCACTCTTCCTGCTTCTTCCCTGTGATTCTCATGTCCATCCATCCTCCTAGTCCTTCCTTCCTTTTATACTTTATCCCTGGACAAATGCTGCCCTTTTGATCTTGGACAATTGATGGTACTTAGGAGTCTGTACCTCCCTGATGTTATTGTTCACCTCACCTCATAAGCCTGTCTGTTGTTTGGCTGAAAGTTGAGCCATACGGGTGAGTTTCATTCAGGCCCAAAGGGTAGCGAAGGGCTGTAGTCCAGGAGCAGTCTTTATTAGACTATCAAGTCTGGGCATTTTCA